GAAGAAGTAGCATTCTTGGTGCTATTCTTGTAACGATGTTTGAAATTATATAAAAAATTTAAGTTCCTAAAACTGGTTGTAGAACTATATGCTCATGGTGAGCATTTATTTTGTAAAATAGCTATTAAGACCAAAACTTTTATCAGTTAAAAATCTGATCTAATAAAAGTAGGAATATATTATGGTATTTATGACATCAAATCATGGTAAAGGGGGGATAACTTTTGCAAGTTTGTCTCCAAGTACAGTACATTTTTGTGGATTTTTCAAGAATTCACCTTCCTGTAATTCTTCTCTTCCTCTGCCTAAAGTGATGCAGTGTACCAAATAATTTTGAGTAATGGTTAGATTGGGCTAGATTCTCAAGGCTTCCTCTTTAAAAATCATATCTTTAATTTGGGTAAGGAATTACCTTGGCTTCTTTGTTCCTGTGAAAGCAACATATAAAAATGCCCCTTTAGTAACACACGATGGGCTTCTCCTGACAGTTATTTCTGCTTAGGTACAGTCTTCTTACTCTCTCAGCAATGTCATTCTGAACTTCTTCCATGTCTCAGGTATGAAATAGGAGCCAATTCAAGATTGACTAAAGACTTACATGTCAGACTCAAAACTATAAAATTACTAGGGAAAACTCTTTAGAACATTGGTTTAGGCAAATAATTTATGGATGAGATCTCAAAAGAACAGGCACCAAAAGCAAAAATAGATAAGTGGGATATAGCTTCTGCACAGCAAAAGAAACAATCAACATAGTGAAGAGACAACCCCTGGAGTGGGAGAAAATATCTGCAAATTACTCACCTGACAGGGGACAAATATGCAGAGTCTGCGAGGAACCTCAAAAGTTAACAAAACAATCCCAGTAAAAATGGTCAAAGGACAAGAATAGAGATTTTTCAGAAGACTTACATGTGGCTCACAGATTATAAGAAAATACTCAACATCATTGATTAGGGAAATGCCAATCAAAACCACAGTGACATACCGTCTTACCTCAGAATGGGTATTATTAAGAAAACAAAAACCAGCAGATGCTGATGAGAATGCAGAGAAACGGAAACCCTGTTACCCTGTCAGCAGGAATGCAAATCAGTATAAGCACGATGGAACCCAGTATGGAGAATTCTAAAACAATGACAACTAGAACTACTGTGTGGTCCAGCAATTTCACTACTGGGTAGTTATCCAAAGGAGAGTTCAGTGTAACAAAGGGGTACCTGCACACTCATGTTTATCACAGCACTATTCACAATAGCAAAGATATGGAATCAACCCAAGTATTCATCAGTAGATGGCTGGCTAAGTAAAACATGGTAAATATACAAAATAAAATACAATTTGGCCATAAAAATAAGGAAATCATGTCATTTTTCAGAAACATGGGTAGATCTGGGAGTCATCAAGTAAAATAAGCCAGGCACAGAAAGACAAATGCTTCAGGTTCTCACTAACATAAGGAGCTAAATAAAAAAGAAGGAAACTTGGTCTCATGGACACAGAGAATACAATGGCAGATGCCAGAGGCTAGGAAGACTGAGTGTGTGGAAGGGAGAATGAAGAGAGGTTGGCCATTGGGTGCAAACCTACAGTTAGAAGAAATAAGCTATAATGTTTGACAGCAGACTGTGGTGACTAAGCAACAATATTATGTGTAAATATTCAAAGTCACCAGAATACACATTTTAGGCATGTAACAAGCAGTTGTATGTACCCTACAAATAGGTAAAATATTATGTATCAATAAAAGGTTCTTTTTAGACGGAGAGGGACTCCTTGGATGCTCATAGCACATCCTGTCCACCTGCATCCACTGTTCCACCATGCTGTTCCTGCCTGGGCCTTCCTGCTCTGGTCCCAAAGGCAGGTGTTGGTGTGACTCAGGTGGCCACACTGTGGACCTGGGTGTTGGTGGACCAGTGGGTGGATGCTAGGGGCATTCACCTCTTCCTGTTCCACTGGGACCAGTTGGAGCCAGGCAGTGACAGGACACCAGCTTCTTGACAAGATCCTGGGACACAGGAGTGTCACCGGCCCCTCCTCATCCGAACTCAGAGCCCAAAGTACCCTCGGGCCCGGGCCATGGCTGGGCTGGAACTCAGGAAGGTTGGGATGCAACTCAAGCCTTGTGACATCTCTGGGTTCTCTACCCACTCAGGGTGCCCTGTACAGGTGGCTCAGGACCCAAAGCTGATGGGAAGAGATTGGCACTTCCCCAGCCCATCTTCACTCATGCCAGGCATCCCAGACTGTCCTTCCTGGTCCATCACCCTGGTCATATTCCCCAGGGCAGCTCAGGACTTTTTTCAGGGGTCTTCTATAGTCAGATGCCTATTAAGTGCTGAGACTTGCAAGGCCAAGTGGGAAGATGGGTAGGTGCCCTTTGGTGAGCACCCCCAGCAGCCAGCAGGCCAGGCCTTCACTCAGGTGTCTCGTGTTCCTGCTTGTGTTTGACTGTTACAGCACTGCATGCCAGGGACACCAGCCCCTATCACTCTTGTCAGGAAGGACACAGGCAGCAAGTTCCTGGAGATAAGGCATTTGCCAGGTGACACTGGTGGTGAGTGCTGGAGCTGGGATTTGAACCTGGATTATGGCACTCTGCATGGAGCAGTGGAAGGTGTGGGGATGCCCATGCAGGAAGGAAGGGCAGCCCAGTCCCACTGAGCCCAGCTGCTGCTTGTGACCCTGGAGGAAACTACTCTGCCCCAGCTAGGGAACAGCGCAGGAGGTCAGGCTTTCCCTTGCTAGCCAGCTCAGGGGATCACAGAAGGACAAAAGAGATTTAGAGTGTGTGTCTTTTTTCCGTTTGTTTCATTCAAAAGTCATTTAGTATCAAGCAAGAGGAACTTTAGCTTAACCTTGCAGCTCAAGCAAGACTTCAGTTACAAAATTTTAAGTTCTGGGGTACATGTGCAGAATGTGCGGGTTTGTTACAGAGGTAGACACATGCCATGGTGGTTTGCTGCATGCATCACCCCATCATCTACATTACCTATTTCTCCTAATACTATGCCTCCCCTATTTCCCCACTCCCTGCTATCCCTCCCCTAGCCCCCCAACCTCCGACAGACCTCAATGTGTGATGTTCCCCTTCCTGTGTCCATGTATTCTCATTGTTCAACACCCTCTTATGAGGGAGAACATGCAGTGTTTGGTTTTCTGTTTGTGTCAGTTTCCTGAGAATGGTGGTTTCCAGCTTTATCCATGTTTCTGCAAAGGACGTGAACTCATCCTTTTTTATGGCTGCATAGTATTCCATGGTGTGTATGAGCCATTTTCTTTATCCAGTCTATCATTGGGGGGGCATTTGGGTTGGTTCCAAGTCCTTGCTATTGTGAACAGTGCTGCTATAAACATATGTGTGCATGTGTCTTTATAATAGAATGATTTATAACTGGGTGAAACAGTATTTCTAGTTCTAGATCCTTGAGGAATCACCACACTGTCTTCCACAATGGTTGAACTAATTTACACTCCCACTAACAGTGTAAAAGTGTTCCTGTTTCACCACACTCTCTCCAGCATCTGTCTCCTGATTTTTCAATGATAGCCATTCTTTTTTTTTTTTTGGGAGATGGGGTTTCGCTTTTGTTACCCAGGCTGGAATGCAATGGCGCGATCTTGGTTTGCCACAACCTCCGCCTCCTGGGTTCAAGCAATTCTCCTGCCTCAGCCTCCCGAGTAGCTGGGATTACATGTGCGCACCACCATGCCCAGCTAATTTTTGTATTTTTATTAGAGACGGGGTTTCACCTTGTTGACCAGGATGGTCTCGATCTCTTGACCTCGTGATCTACCCGTCTCGGCCTCCCAAAGTGCTGAATGATAGCCATTCTAACTGACATGAGATGGTATCTCAGTGTGGTTTTGGTTTGCATTCCTCTAATGACCAGTGATGATGAGCTTTTTCTTCATATGTTTGTTGGCTGCATGCATGTCTTCTCACACCAAAGCGCCTGTGGTTTGGGTGAAGCAGCCTGAAGCAAATCAAGGTGCCACTGCCTGGGTCCAGCTCAGAGACTGCCAGGGAGGCTCCAGACTGACTCCCTGGGGCTCACAGCATCCTGTTACCTGGATCTGCACATGGAGGTGCCTTTCTGCATCTCACAATCAGGTAGGTGCTCCTCCAAACCCTCCTCCTGCTGGCCTGGAGACAGCGGTCTGCACCACACCTTTCTTGCATGCCAGCAGAGCCCTCTGGACCAGAAGCCCCACAGCGGTTAGCCCTGGCTTGGACAATGGGCCAGGGGGGACCAGCGTGGGAGCTGGCCAACCAGCCCCAATCCTAGTGGCTCTCAAGTGCTCCATCACCAATGGACATGTGTTTTGGGTGCAGACAGGTGGCAAAAGTGCCTCAGGCAGGCCCTGGGCTTGGTGGGCTGCTTGTGCTCCGCTATTTTGAGGCCATTTGCAGCAAGCTCCACCAGCCAGAGCTCCAAGCTGCAGCTGCTGCCACCTGCACCAGTACCACCAAGATTGTCTCGGGGTCTTTCTTCAGGGAGGCTGTCAGCATTCCTCAAGTTGCAGGCGCTCTAGCCCCAGTACTGCTTCAAGAGGCTTTTTCTCAGGGGCGGCCTCCTCTTCTGAATGGCCTGAAAGCTCCATCAATTTCCCTCGAAGTTTGCTGGGAACACAAGGCTGTCACTAACATTTGTGGTGCCAGGACTTGGGTGCGTGAGTTGCACGTCAGCCACCATCTGTGCCACGTACAGTGATGCCACCAGAGGCGCGCACGCGGCACGCGCACCCTGCACGTGCATAACAGCTTGGCTTCCCTGTAACGGCGCGCACACACCACACGCGCGCGCACCGGCTTGTCTTGCCTGTAACGGCTTGGCTTGGCTTGGCTTTTCGGTCCTGGATTAACTTGGCGTTCTTCGCTTGGCTTCATGTTCCTTGCTTGGACTGGCATTTCTTCCCTCACATTTCTTTGCTGGGCTTGACCTTTTCTCTGCTAAGCTTGGCATTCCTCTGGCTGGGCTGGGTGTTTCCTTGGGTGGGCGTGGGTGTGGGCGTGGGTTCTCCCTGGGCGGGCTGGGCTGGGCTCCCCTGCTGGGGTTGGAAGGTTTTGGCTGGGATTGACTTTTTTTCTTCAAACAGGTTGGAAACCTGGAGTTTCCTGCTCGTTGGCAAAGCTTGTTGGTAGAGGCGATCTGCTCGCTACTACTGGCCTCCCCGGCTGTAAAAAGCAGATGGTGGCTGAGGTTTGTTCAAAGCCGGCTGCCTCCGCTATGAAGAAGCCCTTTGGTCTCAGGAGCAAGATGGGCAAATGGTGCTTCCCCTGCTTCCCCTGCTGCAGGGGGAGCGGCAAGAGCAACGTGGGCACTTGGAAAGACTACGGCGACAGTGCCTTCAAGGAGCCAAGGTACCAGGTCGGTCGAGAAGACCTGGGCAAGCTCCACAGAGCCGCCTGGTGGGGTAAAGTCCCCAGAGCCAATCTCATCGTCATGCTCAGGAGCACTGATGTGAACAAGAGGGACAAGCAAAAGAGGTAACCGGGCCTCGCTGAGAGGAGGCGGGCTGTGTAGGGATGGTGGGGACGTGCCCTACTGGTGTGGGGGTGGTGGTGGGGTGCCTGGCTTTATCGCCTCTGCAAGCCCCACACCACCTTGGGTGTGGAAACCTCAGAGGGGTCAGGGCACAGACCTCTTTATGAGCGGCAACACAAAACAAAACCTTTAACTGATTTCCAATCAAATTATAATTGCCCTTATAGAACACTAATAGACTGTCATAAAGTGATTTAACTAGCAAAATTAAATCATTGTAGCAGATTATTTTTAATGTACACATTTGAAAACAATGTTATATACATTATAGAAAGGTGTATATTGAGAGCTAAGTCCCGTAGTATATCAACTTCTCACTAAATATTCTTCAGGTAAAATTCAATATGCATTTCATATCAGTGTGTCCTATGTAAATATGTTATTTACTGAGAAATCTTAGAAGGAAAATAAATGGGAAGATGGTTTGTGTCTTTAAATAGGAAGACCCATTTCTCTTAAGATACAAGCTCTTCCTGTGTTTATCACTTTTAGCTATCACTTTTTGCTTTGAAAATAGCAAAATTTTAGCATTTTTAAATTACATATGCCATCTTTTCCTCGTGATAAATTAATTTTTTGTAGCAGAATAGAAAAAGATTTGCTTTTCCAGATATCAAAATTTGCGTGTGCTGTTTCCACAAATTGTTTACTAACAGCTGAAAAGACATAAATGAATAGAACAGAACAGGAAATCCAGAAATACCCAAATATATGTAAGAATTTAGCACTTAATGATGGTGATGTGTTATATTAGTAAAAAAAGAATTATTCTTAAATGAAATGCATGCTGTTTGGAGAAACCTAGCTAGATTTTTATGTCACAAAAATAAGTTCCTAGAGTATAGATTAAAAATTTTAAATACACAAAAGGTGAAAAGTATCAAAAAAAAAACCACAAATGCCTATATATATGTGTATGTATATACATATATATATATATATATATAAATACATGTATAAATATCTATGTATATATATACATATATCTGTGTGTGTGTGTGTGTGTGTGTGTGTGTGTGTGTGTATTTAGATGGAGTTTTGCTCTGTCGCTCAGGCTGGTGTACAGTGGTGTGATCTTGGCTCACTGCAACCTCTGTCTCCCAGGTTTGAGCAGTTCTCTGCTTCAACCTCTCAAGTAGCTGGGATTACACACACCCAGTGATTTACATACATTCTGTAAATCTCAGTATCGAAAAAAATGAACCTTACCTATTCATTTAAATCCCAAGTTTTCTTTGGCTTAAAGTTTTTTGAAAACCAAAGTAAGAATTAATTTATTTTAGAAATTTGTTTTTGTTTTCACCTCAGCCCTCTTATTTCATAGTTCTGTAAGAACTAAAATTTGTCTAAATGCCAGTCATCAGACTAGAACTGCACCAGACTTGTTATACTATAACATAGTCTTCCTAATGTAAGGCACCAGGGATTGCAAGATGCCCCATTACTTTATGTCCTAATAAGAGAATTATTTAAATGCTGCCAATCATAGTAAATCATGAATTATAAGTGGTATTCCAGTGTAAGAAATGTTTAAACATGGAGACAATAGTCATCTTAGAATCACTAAAATAGAATGTTACCTGTAATCTCTAAAACATACCTCAAAGTGTAGGTATAATTGTATTATCTCACTTAATTTAAATGTTGTCTCTAGTAGTTGTAGTAAAAATTATAATATCTAATAATTATTGAGCTGTTTTTTGGGTTAGGAACTATTCTCTGTCTTTTGTGTAGAGTCTCATTTAAGTATTACAGTGGTTTCCTGTGAGAAAGCTACTATTTTCATTCTCATTTTATTGATGAGGAAATTGAGATAAAAAACAGCTCAGCAACATCTAAGAAGTGGTAGAGCTTGAAGTAGGATTCCAGCCCAAGTTGAATGCAATCCAAGGGCTATGCTCTTTCTGTTCAAATAGGCTGCTCTTTTATTCATGCAGTGAGTAATGAGGGATAATGAAGAAAGTAATAGTGTACTTTCTTCAAAGGAATATTCAGTGTTTGTTTTGAAGGCAGAGTAATAGGCTATTTAGTGTTTGCAATGACATGAATTGTTGAGGTGGCTGTAGATAATGCACTACAATTTCCTAAAAAGTCTTCTCACTCTCATAGAACTGCTCTCCATTTGGCATCTGCCAGTGGGAATTCAGAAGTAGTCAAACTCCTGCTGGACAGAAGATGTAAGCTTAATGCCTTTGACAGCAAAAAGAGGACAGCTCTAATAAAGGTATGCAGTAGCCGACTGTATCGGCCTGAGGTGTATTTGATTTCAATACATAGAATAAAGATGAGTGTTCTTACCTAAATAGAACTAGTTGATGAAACCTGTGGAATATTCATTTTGAATTCCTAGGATTTATAATTTGTTTTTGGTCTAATACTGACAGGCCGTACAGTGCCAAGAAGATGAATGTGTGTTAATGTTGCTAGAACATGGCACTGATCCAAACCTTCCGGATGTGTATGGCAATACCGCACTACACTACGCGGTCTACAACGAAGACAAATTACTGGCCAAAGCACTGCTTTTATACGGTGCTGATACTGAAGCAAAAAACAAGGTATAGATCTACCAATTTTATTTTCAAAATACTGAAATGTGATTGTTTTAACACTGACCTCCTGTGTAAGGGTCAGTTTTCCATATTAGGAAGCTCAAGCACAACCTGAATGAAAATATTTTGAAGTGACTTAATTATCTAAGATTTTACTTTAAATATTGTTAAATTTAAAGAAGCATTAGAGAGGGTCCAGTTTTTTTGTTTTGTTTTTTTAATGCACTTAATGGTAATTTTTTTTTGTTGAAAACACTTGAATTTGTAAAAGGTAACACTTATTTTTTTCAATTTTGCCCTCCCAGGTTTCTGGGTTTTTTTCCCCTAATGATTGTAAAATAATACAATTTGCCCTGGAACTAGGTTTTACATTAAAACTCCAAGAAAACCAAAACATTTTTCAGCGAATAGAAATCCTGTTACTTTGACAAGTTCCTAAAAAAAAGTAATAGCATGAAGTGATGTACCTCTCAGTGGCAAGGCTTAAGATAGTTCTGATTGTTGCTAAGGGAGAAATGGAAAGGAGAAAAGAGAGCAATCAGAAACATCAAGGCCAGTTTGGCAATTAGATAATGGAAGGGAAAGACCATAAAAAGGTTGTTGGGGTGTGTGTGTGTGGTGGTGGTGGTGTTCGTTCATTTGTTTCTTTTGTATGGTGAAACAAGGTTCTCTTTAGTTTTGGAGAATGACAGTTTTCAGTTTGGGAGTGGGAGTTAGTGAGTTGTAAACTGCCCAGAGATCAGTTTTAGGAGGACTCTGAGGAACCAGATTGGCAATGAATAGGTGATAATGTAGAGGGAAACCCTTGAGAAGAGGGAATAACAAGTACTTAACTGACTTACTATTCTATTCTGGTAGAAATAGCCAAGTGGAGTCTCAACTCTGCTTTCAAATCTAGAATGTCTTGATGGAAAGGTGGGAGATCAGGAGCTTATAAGTACCAAGATAAGTTGGATTTTGAGTTTACTAGACCCTGTTCTCCTCTTACCCAGAAAAATTATGTGGTGATTTCAGCAAATGAATCTCTCTCCTACTCTTTTCTCTTTTTGGCCAAATCCTGAAATGATAAAGGCAATTGGTCATGTGGCTGAGAGGACACCGAAGTAATTATCTGTTGCACTAGTTTTCAGCTAGAATTGTGCATCCCAGTAACCTGAGGAAAAATTTTAAGTAATCTACAAATCTAGGCTCTCCCCTGAAGATTTTCATAAAGTAAGTCTGATAAAGCCTGGACACGTATGTTTAAAAATATTTCCTTGAACCAGGCATGGTGGTGCACGGCTGTAGTCTCAGCTGCTAGGGAGGCTGAGGTGGGAGAATTGCTTGAGCTTAGCAGTTTGAGTTTAGCCTGGACAACATAATGAGACCTTGTCTCTAACAGCAACAAGAAATTCCTCAAAATCTGGATACACTCCTGCGTAAGAACCACTGAATAGATAAGTGTAATGTGTAAATTCTTACATCTCAGAAACTGAGATATCTCTAGAAGAGTTGGAGTTGGAGTTGGATATGTGCTCATTCCTTTACATCTTTAATTTCCAGTAATAGTTTGACTTTTTCTTTTTTGAGATGAGGTCTCTGTTTTCCAGGCTGGAGTGCAGTAGTGCTATCACAGCTCACCACAGCCTCCACCTCCCCAAGCTCCGGTGGTCCTCCAACCTCAGTTTTTGTATTTTTTTTTTTAGTAGAGATGGGTTTTTTGCCATGTTTCCCAGGCCACTCTTGAACGCCTGGGCTCAAGCGATTCACCTGCCTTAGGCTTTCAAAATACTAGGATTACAGGTGTGAGCCACAATTCCTGGCCTAGTCTGAATTTTATCACTGTGATTGGGACAGTAAAATGAATATTATTGGCAGTATCAACCAGCTTACAGAATAATAGCTTTTCCTTCCTACCATCAGTTATTCACTGCCATTCAGAATATCTTTTTGCATTGAGTATCTTTCAATAAGTAGAGGATGGTCCTCTCAGTATTTTGTGTCTCTACTCTTATTCAGGTGTCACTTATCATTCAAGTGCTTAGGTCAGTAAGTTGTTACTAAGAGCAGAGTTTCTCAATTAAAAATTCAGCCATGCGCGGTGGCTCAAGCCTGTAATCCCAGCACTTTGGGAGGCCGAGGCGGGTGGATCATGAGGTCAAGAAATCGAGACCATCCTGGTCAACATGGTGAAACCCCGTCTCTACTAAAAATACGAAACATTAGCTGGGCATGGTGGCGCGTGCCTGTAATCCCAGCTACTTAGGAGGTTGAGGCAGGAGAATTGCCTGAACCCAGGAGGCGGAGGTTGCAGTGAGCCGAGATCGTGCCATTGCACTCCAGCCTGGGTAACAAGAGCGAATCTCCATCTCAAAAAAAAAAAAAAAAAAAAAAAAAATTCAACAAATTCTAAACCTTTTTGGTCAATTGAAGCTGTATCATCGACAATCCAGTATGTCTCTTAAGTTTGTAGAGCAATCGCCTAATCAGGATGGCAGTTTTAAAACATTAAAAACCACAGAGTTATTAAGAATACATATAGGAATTCTGTTAATTTAGTTTCAATAGTCCTATGAACTGATTATTTATTTAGTTAACAGTCTGAAAAAAATAAATACAAATAGATTTTAAATGAATAAATGTTGGAAAAATTCTTGAAATGGGCAGTATGAGTCTTAATACCAATTTTTATTGCACGTTGGAGCTTGATCTTCTGGTAAGACGTGTGAAACTAAAGAAATATTTTACATTCAAATTCTTGCTTAATACCCAACAATTCGTCTTAGGTTTTGAGGATATAGAGATAAAAGATACAGCTTCTGCCCTCAAGAAGCTCTTTGTTTAGATGGGGAAAAAATATTATCATCCAATAATACCGTGCCAAATGCTGGCATAGAAGCAAAGATTCCTGGAACCAATAAATGTTTAAAGTCAGTTTCTGAGATGCTCAGAGTTAATATGGTGAGGCAGAGAAGGAATGTCTCCAAGGGAAGGAGCGATGCGTGGGAAAGCACAGAAGAGTAAGAGGGAAGTGACTACAATCTGTTTACTTTCTATGAGTGTAAGTCTATAGGCTCTTATATAGTTTCCAGTTCAGTTGAGAAAATGTAATTTTTGTATCAGATATCATTTTTGCTTTGTATTGTTTTACAGTGTGGCCTCACGCCACTTTTGCTTGGCGTACATGGACAAAAACAGCAAATGGTGAAATTTTTAATCAAGAAAAAAGCTAATTTAAATGCCCTTGATAAATATGGAAGGTATAGTTATTTCTTTTAATCTGTGTGTTGTTCTAGAGTGATAGCAGTCACTCACATCATAAATATTCATAAAATGAACTTATTGTGACATAGTGATCAGGATTAACATGAATCAGTTAAGTAGAAAAACAGTTAAACTGGGCAACATAAAGAACAGTTTTAGTAGGATTCATCTTACTACATTGACTGAAGTTATTATGTGACCTTTTTGGTTATATGACTTTATGTTAGCTAAATGGATTTCATATTAGTCTCATGAAGTGTGCACTTTAATTTTTAGCTTACTTTATGACTCAGTATTGAACTTCTTACCCCTTTCTAGTAGTTTTTAACCTCTGAGTCTTATATGCTTTTCCACTAAATAGGCTATATTCAACATCAATAGGAGTTGATTATCATTTTATCTTTTGAATGACTCTGCTTTAATTTGCTTTCTTTGAAGGTTATTAATGTTAACTTATCCCTACATGACAATTGATACTATGGGTTCATCAGCTTTTGTTTTATTTCCAGTATATTTTGATGTTTTTATTTTTAATTGGTATGGAGAGAGGGAGTAAGTTAGTTTTAAGTGGATACACTTTTCCTTTAATGAAGGCAAGCAAGCTATAGGTGGCTGATAAGAGAAAAGAGCCAGGCTTTGGATTCACACAAGACTGGGTTTAATTCCTAGCTTTCTTACTTGCTTGGTGTGTGACCTTGGAATGTTATTTACCACCAAATAAGCTGTCATGTGGAAAGGAGAATATATCCTTCAAAATTGGCTGTGCATAAGTAAGAAAGATGTGTATGTACGGCATTTAATTTAAGTGCCCAGCTCATGCTTATTGGCATTGTTAACTGAAGCTACTATGACTATTATTCTCCCCATTATTAATATTACTGCTTTCAGCATGCAGATAGCTCTTATGTAATCCCTTAGCTGATTTTCTATTACAGCATATCAGTCCAGGGAAGCTGAGAAGAAATCTTCACTTAAATTTTTGTCCACTTCAGATAAGTGGCCCTAGCATAGTTTCTTGCCCATCAAAGGCCTTTAAATTAATAGCTTCTACGATGCAATACCCCACTGAGATAACAGGTTTTCTTTTTGTCCCTTCCTTTTAACCTTGGTGGTATTTTACAGAGATTGACACTTGAGCACCCAAGATGCTTATGTCTTTTAATACATATAAATGTTTAATTATGTTTAATTCTGCATGGATAGGCAAGATATTAAATTGGTAATGTATACTAGATTAGCTTTAAACTTTACTACAGTTCTTAAGGGAGAAATTCTCTCTGTCATTTTAGAACTGCTCTCATACTTGCTGTATGTTGTGGATCAGCAAGTATAGTTAGCCTTCTACTTGAGCAAGATATTGATGTATTTTCTCAAGATACATCTGGGAAAACTGCCACTGATTATGCTGTTTCTAGTCATCATGACATGTAAGTGTTTACATTAAAAGGCTAGTTAACACTAAATTGAGGCTTAAGATAATTACAACGATTGTATCTTATATTATCAGGTGAGATGTCATAGTTTGGTTCAGGTGGTTTTAGAGTGGCAGTGAGTTAGTTCCCTGCTGCAGTTAGAAATCAGACAAAAAGCTAGACTGGTTACATGTGCCAATGCGTGCTGGATTCTTTATGTCAGGACTTGTAAGACCTTTATGTTTAGAGATCCCAACATTGTTCATTTCATCCAACTATAACACCTATGCATGAGGTAAAAGATGATGTAACGTCTTTGATTTTTCTGATTAGTTATTCGGGTCTTGAGATACCCAGTTTAGCAGAAAGTCTTACTGTCTTCCGAGAACTATCTCCTATGTACTCCTTGAATTTTTCAAGAACCAACGGGGTTCACTAAATCCAAGGAAGACAATCCCTTTATCAAATCAGAATGAGGAGAAACAAAGGACATTCCCATCATTCTGTTGTTTCTGTTGATTCCGTTGGTGCATTATTGCCCCTGAAACTGGTCCTGCTGCCTGATAATGGTTGATTTTTGACACCAAGATGCCCTTACTGATTCAGATCCCTCAGGTCTTCATGGTGATCCATACAGAGATGTTGAAGTTACAGCATGTGTTAGTTCACCTACCTATGCTTATATGCTCAGCCATTATCGCCAAAGCACCGGCACCCTGCTCTGGCAGTGTGACTTTATCCACACACAAAGTGAACAAATTGACCCTTACCCCCACATTCAGAACCTGCTGTGGAACCCACATCTCAGCCTAGACTTAGCTGAGACCTTCATGGTAAAAGATTCTTTGAGGCCCGTGTTGGTCTTTTATCTAGCAGATATTCATTGGGCTTGTTCTAAATGGTCAGAGAGGTTGAAATAATGTGGCAGAAAGAGATCAGTGTTTCTTTCTTCTTTGCTACCAGGTCTGTACCCTCACACACCTCTACATCCTGTATAGTACATTAAGCAGTACAAAGTCCCATATTAACCTTCCCCAGAGCAGCAGACTCCCAGTTGTGGTTGGCCCCTGAGTGATCTGTTTTACATAATAATGAAAATTGCGCAAGCTACTTGCATCTCTACCTCAAAATTTAAAATTATTTTCAAATTCTGCCTCCTGGGAAGCCATTGAAGAGAATTCTCAGAATCTCAAGTAGGTTAGGTGGACTTAATAGGACCAAAATCTTGTCCATGTCTCATCACTAATCATGTGTAAAAGTAGGGCTTTGTGCTTGCTTCAGCAGCACATATTCTCAAATTGAAACAATACAGAGAAAATTAGCATGGCCCCTGCATAAGGAGGCTGCACAGATTTTTGAAGCATTCCATATTTTGCACAGTCACTAGAAGGTCATTTGACTATTTGCTGACTAGCCGTAAGGAAACTGTGTGAATAAAGGAAAATGGGTGCCATCAAAATACTGAAATTGTGATTTGCACTACAAAAATAGTCATGTAAGGTAGTCTATGAGATGACACCAGAACTGAATAATGTGTGTGGTGTTGTGTGCAAAATGTTGTTAGTGTGTATGTCAAAAACTTAGAGAATGTCAACTTGCAACTTCTTCATGGAACCTAAAAAAAAATGGAAGTAGGGTTTTGGTCTCCCATGTCAGCTGGATATGAACATGGGTGTAAAGCATCATCCTAGCAAACATCTGCTGGTTCAGAGTTTCAGTCTGTAGAGAAGAATCATTGGTCCAAGCTGGGTCTTACATCCATTGGCTTTTCTGCCATTAGTTTCATTGATAAACTCCATAACAGTGGAAAATCACATCATCTACTTTAATGAGATATTTATCAATAAATTTAGTTACAAACTATGAAATAGTTGAGATACCCTGAATTATAAGTCACAAAGAGTAGGACAACTAATAAGCAAAATTAGGACTTCATGACATTTTCTGAAAACAGCAACATTTTCATATTAGAACCTATGAAAAAAATACAGATTGAGTTTTATTTGGAATTCCACGATGATTTCAGTTGTAAAGTTTAGGAAGAGATTATTCCATTGCTTTACTATTTCTCTAAGCATTTAAAAAATGGTATCTTGTTAAATCTTTATAACAACCTAGTGAAATAAGGCAGCAAAGTCCTTACCTTGTAGAAGAAGACATTGAACCCAAGAGGAGCAACTTGTCCAAAAACAAATAGTTGTTCATTATGGAGCTAGGACTTATGAAGAGTTGGGACACTTTCCACTGTTGTCAGACTAATGCGAGTTAACTTACGGGTCATACTGCCCTCGATTTATGAGTATTTCACCCTATTTTTTTTCTTTAATTAGAAGCTTTGTGAGAAGTTTCTAGAATGTACGCATAGGTAGATGGGATAATATTCTGTTATTGTTTGAAATACACTAAGCATTTTACATTTCGTAAGTATTTTTTATCTCAGTATTAAAATAGTAATTTTATTACATTTTTATACACAGAATTTGCCAATTACTTTCTGACTACAAAGAAAAACAGATGTCAAAAAACTCTTCTGAAAACAGCCATCCAGGTAAGACCTCTGGTAGTGAATTACTTTAGGCCAGTTGTTGCCAGCCTTTTTGGCACCAGGTACTGGTTTTGTGGAAGACAATTTTTCCATGGACTGGGGAAAGGTAGGGGTGGTTTCAGGATTATTCAACCACATGACATTTATTGTGCTACTTTATAGTATTAATACATTGTAATATATAATGAGATAATTATACAACTTACCATAATGTAGAATTAGTGGAAACTCTGAGCTTGTTTTCCTGCAACTAGATGGTCGCATCTTGGGACAAAGGGAGACAGTGACAGATCATATGACATTAGATTCTCATAAAAAGCACACAGCCTAGATCCATTGCAGGGGCAGTTCACAACAGGGTTCATGCTCCAGTGATTATCTAATGCTGTCACTGATCTGACAGGAGGCCGAGCTCAGGCAGTAAGATGAGCCAGGGGGTGTGGCTGTAAAATACAGATGAAGCTTCCCTGGCTTGCTTTCTGCTCATTTCCTCCTGTGTGATGAGCTTCCTCACAGGAACCAGTCCATGGCCTGGGAGTTGGGGACCCTTGCTCTGGGTGGTCCTACCATAGTTAAAAAAGTAAAAGTAAGGATGTTTTGATCACAAAGAACTGTGAAGCACTGGTTCTATAACATATGCTTGTACCAGCAAGGCATCACTATTACTGACCTCATTCCTCCTAATTTGCAATGGAAAGAGATAGATTTACTTTGTTGCAACAAGGTGTTTTCTTCTACCTGTGGGTTGTCATGATAACAGTAATTTTGTTAGAACAAGATGCTCTGCTACCATTTGTCAAAAGGTTGTCATAATATACAAATTGCCCAACTCTAAGCTCAGCAGATTGTAATAAAAGTACAAAAATGTTTCACAATAACAAAAATGCTAGTATGCTACCTGAATGTGGACACATAATACATTGTACAATCCAGACTGTATGAGGACACCTTAAATTTAGCCATCTGTTTATCAAAGAGCTTTTGTAACTTGCAGGAGACAAAGATGGAATAGACCTAGTTTTGATCTTGAAGGTGCTTATAACAGAACTGTCTCTATTTCATTTCTTTGCTTTTTCAACAGAATTTACAAGGAAAACATTTTTATTTATATTTTTAACTTGTCCACTTAACAAATAACTGTCAGATGTTTTTTAGATACTAAGCATTTTCCTAATGCTACAGAACACAAGTAAAAATACAGACAGGAGCTTGTTACTATCACTGTCGTGTTTTATTATTTTGCTACTTTATTCAGTGCTTACTATGTGCTAGATGCCCACTGGAAATGTAAGCTATGATTTATTATTTATTATATTGATTATGTGCCAGACATATGTGATGAGGAATGAGAGCTTTTTTAGAAAGTAGGTAGGACTTAAGGTAAGCATGCAGAGTTAGTAGAATGTTTCAAGGGAAAGAAGCATGGGAATGATGTTTGGCAGAAGGAGGATGTAATGAGATTGTGTTAGCCAGAAGGAACTGCTAACAAGGTTGCCTGTTTGGGAGGAACAGCAGCAAGTGCAAAGACAAGTTGTCTGAGTGAGCTCTGCAGGTTTATGAGCCGTTCACTTCTGCCACTAGCAGAAGTGTGAGATATGAGAGGTTGGAAATGAAGTGATACAAGTTTATAGTAGATATTTTAATGCTATAGAAATAAGTCAGTCTCCAGCGTTAGTCAGCATGATGAAACCCCATCTCTACTAAAAATACAAAAATTAGCCAGCTATGGTAGCAAGCACCTGTAATCCCAGCTACTTGGTAGGCTGAGGCATGAGAATTGCTTGAACCTGGGAGGTGGAGGTTGCACCGAGCTGAGGTTATGCCACTGCACTCCAGCCTGGACAAAAGAATAAGACTTTGTCTCAAAAAAAAAAAAAAATAGAAATGAGTAGGTCTTATCCTGTGGGCCATAGGAATTTTACCAGTAGAATACTTTGGACTGCAAATACTAGATGAGCAGTGGCTAAAACAGTAGGAACCAGAGTTGTTTGGGTTGTTCGGTGATATCCCAGGATCCCACTTGTCCCTCTTTCAGCTGTGTTGTTGGCAGTGTCTTCTTCATGTCTCCTTTCACGGTTGGCTAATCTGCAACAGTTCCAAACATCTTGTTCTCACAACACAACATCGAAGGCTGCTCTTCTTCACATGTGTCTTTTAAACGGAGAGAAAACTTAGCAGCATGCAAGGGGCTTCCTGAAACATTTCATTGGCTGGGTCACACCACATGCTCATCCCCAAACCAGCACTGGGAAAGCAGATTTGTGATTAGCTTAATAATCGTTTCTCTTTCTGAAACTGAGGAGGGGAATTAGGGTAATAAACATCCCAATAGACTTGTGTTTCTTCTGCAAGGAAGAATAAGGAATGGCTACTGGTAGGGAGCCAACAGTATTTGCTGCAGGAGCTCATTGGAGAAGTTTGAGCAGGGGAGTCACAAGATTAAATTTGAGTATTAAGCCATTCTGGTTACAGTGTAAAACGAGTTAGCAACCTTTTTCTGTAAAGGACCAGGTGGAAAATATTTTAGACTATGTGGTCTCTGTCATGTCTACTTAACCCTGTTGTAGTGTGAAAACCACCGTGGATAATATGTAAGCAAATAGGCATGTCTGAGTGCCAAGAAAACTTTGTTTACAAAGCCATAAGGCAGACTGGATTTGGCCTGTGGTCTGTAGTTTGCTGACCCCTCATAAAGGATTGATGGAAGGTAACCATATAAAGAAACCATGAGACAAAGGAAGCTTTTGCAGTAATCAGCTGTAGTTTCCTTGTCACACATCCTTGGACTAGTATCAGTGTATTACAAGGTTTGCACCCATCCATGGTGAAATAAAGAAAGTTAGGAATCTCAGTTACTCATTTTAAAGTGTTGACCTTTTTTTTTTTTTTTTTTTTTTTTTTTTTTTTTTTTTTTGGTGTTACAGCTTTTTCATTTGTTTTGCTTATTTTTTTCATGGAAGAAATAACATTAATAGTTGGTGTTTCTTTTTTTTTTTTTAATAAAAGCTATTTTCTAAATGTTTATGTTCCCAGTGGCAGTGGGAATATAAAGCAGAGGCAGAAGAGTGTATAGTCAATATGATTTAGTGATAATTGAATAAGTTTGGGAGACAAAGAGAAATCTCAGATGATTCACAGGTTTCCAGGTTGTACACTAACATTTAACCTGGGCAGGAGGAAGAAGTAGGAAATTTTCTGGTGAATACAGAAGAGCAAAGGGCAGTAGGTCAGCAGGAATGATTAATTTTTTCTATGCATGTTTACTGGAGTATTAATATAGGATATTTCGAGTAGGTAATTGGATAATCAGCATTTGTAACTTGCATCCTACTAGTTTGACTCTCAGTAAGACTTGTCAAAGAGCCAAGAATCTGAAAGTTGATGATAAATGTCCATGTGTATCATCATCAGTGACCAAAAGTCAGCATCCACAGAATTGGGACAGATGAACTTGCTAAAGATAAATGTCGGAGTTGTGTTTCTCATAGGAAACAATACTCTCCGTGACCTGTGTGACTCACAGTTGCCAGAAAAGAGGGAGATCAAGGAGCGTATTGAAGAAGCACAGCAATTTCAGTCCTGGAGTGCCCTGCTTGGCCTCATGTCATCGTTCTGACTTGTAACAAATTATTTTCTGCAAAATGTGCTTTGTGTTTTTTCCCTCTAGCAGCCTACAAACAAACAGAATCCCCTTAGCAGGGCATTTTTGTGTTCTTCCTTGAAACAAAGCAACATGGAAATAGCAGAAAGAAAGAAGTAAGAGGAAGAGTGTTTTTTGTGTAGGCTAGCATTTAATGTAAACATGAGTGTGAGTACCAGGATTATACTTAGAATTTAGGGACTGGATGGGAAAACTAGATAGAAATTTAAAGATGACTCCAGCACAATGTGATTTCTTTGCTTTGTTTTCACAGCTCTGAATTCATAACTGTTAGTTATATTCATATGCACTATAACTTAGGAAAGCAGCTTCCCAAAGTAAATATTAAATGATTTGTGCTAATTTCTATGACTTTATTGTAGAATTGGCTTTCCTAGGTGTTCATGAGAATTCTTGAGAATTTACTACATAGTATCATCTCAGCTGTGTCCACATGAGCTATCTATCATCTTGTCTTATTGAATAATGGTTCTCTAAGAATATTTGTTTTGGTATTTAAAGTGATCTATATCTGATGTAGATAGGACCAGGAACCCCTCGTGAACATTAATGTCCAAGCATCTTAAAATTACACATAAGGCTTTCATAATCTGACTTCTGCCCCACTCTCTGTCTTTACCCCTTTTCCCTGTGTGCCTTTTCTCTGGCACTACTGAGCTGCTGGTAATGCCCTAGTCACTCATCCTTCTATTGTAGGCAAATACATTCACTCTTTCAGGCCTTGCCCCCTCTCTTGCTGCTGCCTGGCATTTTGTCACCCTTTCTTGTTCTCTCTTCCTTTAACCTGGCTAGCCTCACTATTTAAGTCTCCTCCTGGACATGATTTCTAGAACAGCCATCCCTGACATGTTTTATTTTCATTCTGTGTAAATCCTAACACCTAGCATATATGTAGCAGGACTGAATTTAAAAATTGCTGAGTAAAAAATGTTTTTACAAAGATGATGTGCAAGACTGTCCCCTGCAGTCTTGGAGCAGAGGGGACAGATAGGTGGAACAATAATGTACAGTTCCGGTGGTAAAGATGCCGTAGAAAAATCAATAAAGTACTAAGGCAGCCTCAAGGAAGGAGATACTTGCTTATCTGGTGAAAGGCATGCAGAATCAAGGAGGACTTCACATAGCGTTGTTTTAAAAGATGAAAATAAGGCTGGGCGCAGTGGCTCACACCTGTAATCCTAGCACTTGGGGAGGCCGAGGTGGGCAGATCACTAAGTCAGGAGATCGACACCATCCTGGCTAACATGGTGAAACCCCATCTCTGCTAAAAATACAAAAATTAGCTGGGTGTGGTGATGTGTCTGTAATCCCAGCTACTTGGGAGGCTGAGGCAGGAGAATCACTTAAACCAAGGTGTAGTGAGCTGAGGTCATGCCACTGCACTCCAGCCTGGCAACACAGCAAGAATACATCTGGTGGTGTGTGCCTGTAATCCCAGCTACTCGGGAGGCTGAGGTAGGAGAATTGCTTGAACTCAGGAGGCGGAGGTTGTGGTGAGCCAAGATCGCGCCATTGCACTCCAGCCTGGGTAACAAGAGTGAAACTCCGTCTCAAAAAAAAAAAAAATCTCTAAACAAACAAATTAAATTTGTCAGAATAGTGGAGGGAAGCATTTTAGATATTAGGAAGAATTAAATTTGTCAGAATAGTGGAGGGAAGCATTTTAGATATTAGGAAGACATTGTACACTAACAAAGGTGTCAGCTGTAATTTTGGACATCATTTATAAGGTACCATTAGGAAGTGGAGAACAATATACTGTGTTACCTCATGTTTCTACTGTGTTTTAAAGTTGTGTTTTTGGTGGTTTTGTTTAGTTATGTTGCGTGGATGAATTTGTGAGTGAATCTTTGACGTGTTTATATGTCTTCAATCTGGTGACATCGGTGTCTCTTCAAGTGATTTGTCGAAGTTTTGGAGAATTATTTCTTAAGTAACTATTTTATGAAAGATTCAGCTTCATTTATACACTCAATTTATGAAATAAAATGAAATGTCTTAAATCTATTTTTATAAAGGCAATAGTTTTAAACTGTTCTAAGTAGTTCATTTTAACTGACTATATGGATTTCTCAATAGAACAAGACTTAAAGCTGACCTCAGAAAAAGAGCCACAACGGCTTACAAGAATTGAAACTAGCCATCCAGAGGCATGTAAAATTTTAAATTTAAATTACTGGTTTAACGTTGTTTTCTTTGCCTTAATAATATTAGATAGTCTAAATGAAATTACCCTTCAGACTAGGCTGTGAGAATCAATAGATTAAGTATCTTTTAATATATTCTTAAAATTTATTTTAATAAATTCAGCAACCTTATTAACAGAAGAATCAGTAGGTTCTAATTTAACATTTGATATTTAACTCAAAAACATAACCCATTATAAAATTTAGCATATTCTTATTTTAAAATATTCTTATGTAAAATATTCTTGTCTGCCGTCTCAGTTAGCTTTTACCTAATATTTTCCTTGGAAATACAGACAAAAACAAACTCTAGAACTTTGTTCTATTTTTTACAAAACTCTAACATGGTAAAGAAAGTAACATCAATTGTTGGATCATTTTATTAAGCAATAGGAATTAGGAGCAGTGTAACACGGATGGTCCCTGAGGTGGATTCAGGGTTAAGGAGTAATAATGGCCAGTGATTGAAAAGCTGCAGTTTTATATTGCCAGTCACTGATACCAAGCTTAAAGATATATTCTGTCTTGTTGGCTCTCTTTGACCTCAGGGTTTCTGTTCACATAGGAAACCAGGTCATAAAAGCATCCCAACTTTCTATTACAAGAATCACGTCTTGCAGAATGGGACCTTTGGTGTTAATGTACAAACACAGTAACAGAAATTCTAATTTATTTCAGTTTCAGAAAATCAGTACTCATTATTTAAGAATTTTTATCCACTGTCATTAGTACACATTAGAATATATTAGAACTAGACTTAAGCAGGTAATCTAGATACATAACAATTATATATTGCAGTATATAATTTCAATTAAAGTTTAAGAATTTGCACTTCTTTCTGTTTGGTGTTGATTTCAGCTCCTAATAATTTAAAATGTGCCTACAGTCCAGTTTCCAGTCTTTTAAGAAAGCACTTCTGTGCACTGTAGGGGCTCACTAGTTAGGGCACTGTGAGGTAAAATCTTTTCAAGTGTGGAGGCCTTTACAGCACTACAAATCATCTGCTAATTCATTTTTGGTAGATTTAGCACATAATGAGTTAAGTTTAATCCAAACAAATTGTGACAGTTAAGTTTGCTAGTTCATGTTTTTCTTCTCCCTTCGGCTAAGGTGAATTATTTGTTACATGTTAATTAGAAGCCAGCGATGTATAAACATAGATCAAAAAGTTAATTCTTGATGTTAATTAATTATTTTAACAGCTAAATTTTAATTTTAATTATTTTCTAATTTTTCATTGTCCATACTTAAGAATAAAATTATTTTTAAAACATGCTCTCCAAAAAAGCAGACATCACAGAACTACAACAAGCAAATTAACCTTGTATTTTTGCATCTGCAGAAAATGTCTCAAGAACCAGAAATAAATAGGGATTGTGATAGAGAGGTATGCCTTTATAGTCAAATGTTTTTGTTGAATTAGATTTTGCGTTGTGTGTTTTAACAAGGTGTAATAAGTTCAGACATACGTGATCCTATTGTGTAAGTAGCATAAATCATCAGCAAAAAATTTGATATTTAACTCAGAAGGAATTCTATACATTGAGTTTTAAAGAGAGACAAACCCTAGAGATAATGTTTCATTATTATGGAATAATCCTGAATGGTGTCATAAAATGGTGGTAATGCCACATTAGGAACTTTGGATTAATCATTTTATCTTGGTTTTAGTCTGATTATCGATAGACAATGTGGCTAAAGAAGATAATTTCTTATACTGTATATCTTCCAGCGAGAAAATTTTATGGCTATTGAATGTGAAATACGGGAAGCATCTAATTTTCTGGAGTTCCTGGCTAGCACCTCAGCAGTTCCACTTAGCTCCTTGTGTTGTGGCAGACTTTGGTTTCCAGGTTTCAGTGAGCACTTTCATGTTTTTGATATCCCTGGAACCAAATGAAAAAATAATAATCAAAGGCAGTGAGGGAGAAGAATATTTTAGTGCAGAGAAGGGAAATCTTCCTTTTTATTTTTGAAGCCCCACAGTGTCTCATCCTCTAAATCTGACTGTTTCATTTAAAATCTAGGTGGTAAAGATGGAAGAAGACACATTTTGCATCTTTGTCTTTTTATTTGTGTGTTCCCACGAGCCAAATGTGGTAAATACGTATATTAGATTCTGAAGAGTGGTTGGAAATATAAGCCCAAAATGAAGGAGGGTCCTTTTTGAATTTTGGAAATTTCTGTTTTATTTATTCAAACAGAAATGAAGCCAACTATAAAAATTTCAATGATACATTAATGACATAATAATTACGTTTTAAAATTATATGGTAATAGTTCTGTATATATAATCAAATTTAAGTGTGAAATATTTTTAATGACTAAAATAATGACAAACTGAGTCAAATGATAAAATCAATTGAACAAAAAGGTTCTTTTTTAATTCAATAAAGCAATAATTATCTTTAATATCAAACTTGCACTCAAGGTTGAAGAAGAAATGAAGAAACATGGAAGTAATAATGTGGGATTACCAGAAAACCTGACTAATGGTGCCGTTGCTGGCAATGGTGATGATGGTGGATTAATTCCACGAAGATCGAGGAGAAAACCTGAAAATCAGCAATTTCCTAGCACACAGAATGAAGAGTATCACAGGTAAGCCTATGGCAGCATTTAACAGGAGATAACTGTGCTGTCAAACTCATCCTTGGGCTAATATTCACGACGAACAAATTTTGTGCTTTTACTAGGATATTCAGCCTTGCCTGGTAATCAGAGAAATGAAAATCACCAAACAACAAGTTACCATTTTTCCAATCATTAATTTATTTGAAAAATAAGCAGTATTGGCAAATGTGAGGGAAAAGGCATTTTCTTTTCTTTTTAGTGAACTTTTATTTCAGCTCCAGGATACATGTGCAGCAGGTTTATTATACAGGTAAACTGTGTAATGGAGATTTGGGCTACATATTATTTCATTAGTCACATAATAAGCAAAATACCTGATAGGTAGTTTTTTGGTCCTCTCCCTCCTGCCACCTTCCACCCTCAAGTAGGCCCCAGTGTCTATTGTTCTCCTTTGTGTGGCCATGAGTTCTCATTGTTTAGTTCTCATAATAAGTAAGAATATGCGGCATTTTATTTTCTGTTCCTTTGTTAGTTTGCTTAGGATAATGGCCTCCAGCTCCATCTGTGTTATCGCAAAGGAAATGGTCTCATTGAAAAAGACGTTTCGTACACTGTTGGTAAATACATTCTGCACATTAATTTAGTAGCATATTCACACACACATATAACATAGGATATATATATATATGTATGTTAAAGATATTTGTACAGATTTGTTACATATATACTTATGTATAAGGACATTTATTACAGCATTATTATATCAAAAAGTTGGAGCTAGTCTGAATCCTTATCAGTAGGAAATACCTCAATTTTCATACCCAGAAAATAATGTAGTATGCAACCATTTTTAAAAAATGAAGTTAAATCTAGAGTGTACTATTTCACAATTAAAATGTATTTAAAGCATTTGGTTTGATGACACATCTTAAGACAGTTTTGTTAGAATTCTTGTAATCTCTGCTGTGTTGCAACTGGAAGCCTTATGCTATGTAACACTGTACCTTGTTAGCAACAAGATTGCTAGTTATTGGATTTTTGTTGTCAGTGCCTGAGTGCTGAAATATTGGACCCTCAATCTGAATATTGCCAAGGGATCGTATATGGGAATATGTATTTAATATAAGGATTTCAGTATATCGGGTAAAACTTTTATTAAAATACATCAAAGAATCTTTGATGTACTAAACCAAGAGTTGGCCAGCTTTTTCTGCAGAGCCGGTTAGTAAATATTTTAGGCTTTGTGGGCTATATATATTTATTTTTTTTAGACAGGGCCTCACTCTGTCTCCCAGGCTGGAGTGGAGTTGCATGATCATGACTCACTGTAGTCTTGACTTTCTGGGCTCTAGTGATCCTCTGGCCTCAGCCTCTCTACTAACTGGGACCACAGGTTTGTGACATCACACCCAGCTAATTGACTCTATGGACTACAAAGTGAGTAAGCATGGCTGTGCTCCAGGATACTTAACTTACAAAAACAGGCAGTGGGCTGGCTTTGGCTCACAAGTACTAATTTGCTGATCCTTGTGCTAAAAGGGAGGTGCTGTTAATGTAGTGAATCTTATTTGTAAAAGTGCCCTGCGTGCATGACATCATCCTTCTTTTGAAAAAAGGATATATTTAAGTATTCACCTGACCACATTTTTCAACAGTGACTTCATACAATTTTTAACATTTCCTTTATAAAATAAGATTATTTTCGGCTTTTCTTCCATTTTATTCCTGTTAATAGAACTCAGTATTTTACTGTGATCATTATTTTGTATATTTGATGAGTATCAGCTGTCCTAGAATTGACTGATTTTTATCAAGCAAGAAATACTCACTTTGAAACTTTTAGTATTCCTGGGTCTTTATTGTAAGTGTGAACATCATGATAACCAGCTTATGTAATCTAGAAAAGAGGTCTTTTAGTTCTATGATTTAAAGAATTTAATACCTCATTATACATTTTTTAATGCCATAAGTGTATAATTTTTATAACCTTTAAAATATATAATTGCTATATAAAATTTGAAAACTACTGCTTCTTTCCTATCACATTTCCATGACTGTGGAAGAAAATTACATCATTCACTGTCGTGACTCCTAATTATGATCCCCTTAAAAGAACTGTCTACACTCATGAACTAAAGTTTTCTTTCCATTCAGTCATGATCTCACGATCTCAAGTCTTCAATTTCAGCACTGCCTCAAAGTTATTTTTCTCAAGGTTATTACTGATTTTTTTTCTATAATAAATGCAGGAATTTTTTCTTACACCTCATTTTATTTAATCTGTCAGCAATATTTGACCCAGTGGAGGACATCTCCATAATAGCATGTTCACTTGGCTTTCAGGACCTCAGTCCCTCAGGCTTTTCCTCCTGCCTTTCTAGTCTGTTGGTCATGGTCTGTTTTGCTTGCTTCTCCTCATCTTTCTCCTTTTGCACATTGTTGTTTCCCAGGGCCCAGTTCTCAATCTTTTCTCATTACTTTTTAATTTTTCTCTTTTTATGAGACAGAGTCTTGCTCTGTTGCCCATACTGGAGTGTAGTGGTGAAATCTTGGCTCATTGCAACCTCTGCCTCCTGGGTTCAAGTGATTCTCCTGCCTCAGCCTTCTTAGTAGCGGGGATTACAGGTGTACACCACCATGCCCAGCTAATTTTTGTATTTTTAGTAGACAGGGTTTCCTCATTTTGGCCGGGCTGGTATCAACCTCCTGACCTCAGGTGATCTGCCTACCTTGGCCTCACAAAGTGTTGGGATTACAGGCATGAGCCCACCGCGCCTGATCCCTGATGACTTCTGCTGTGTATACGTGAGTGATTTACAAATGTATGTCTCCAGCTCAGATCTCTCTCCTTAATTCCAGACCTCTATATCAGTCTGCCTACTTGACATCTCTGTTTGGTTAGCTATTGGGTATCACACACTTGTGAGATCCAAAATTAGGCTACTGATGTCCTTCCTGAAATCTACACCTCATGTAGTCTTTCCTTCTTTGGTTAATGGCAACTCTTCCAGTTGTTCTGCCAAAAACCGTGGTGTCATTCGCACTCATCTCTGTCTCTGACACCTCACATCTAATCTTTCAGTAAATCTTGTCAGGTCTACCTGAAGAATATATCCAGAAGCCAGTTATATCTTGTACATCCGAGCCACCATCATCTGCAGTCTAAATGAGTATCATAGACTGGTAACTGATAGTCTGGCTTTAAAAAAATTTTCTTTTCATCAGTTCTTAACTCTGGATGTATTTAAAACCTAAGTCAAATTGCATCATTCCTCTGCCCCAACACTTCTGATTGCCTACTATTTCACTCTGAGTATGTGTCAAAATTTCTTCTAATAACTAAAAGGTAGTACATCATCTGGCATGTTGTCTCTATAGGTTGAACTATTTCTTATCTCCTTTGCTCTGTCAGCCACACTGAACTTTATTATCTATCCCTATTGCTTAAAGACCACAGGCATACCTCTCTGTACTTGGCAGTTTTCTGTGTCTGGAGTACTTTTCCCCCAGATACCCTTGTAGCTAATTCTTCTTATTCCTTCAATTTTTAACTTAAAATTCCCCTTTTAAGAAGAAAAAGGATAAAAAGAAACATATTAAGGAAGAACGAACTTCTGAGGAAGAACCATGTACCAGCACAACAATTTCTAGTCCAGAGAAAAAGAAGAAAAAGAGAAAAAACAGAGAGAATAAGGAGGACTAACAGAAAGGAATTACGGTTGTATCGCCTGGACACATCATGCTTAAGATTCAGTTGGGAGCATACCAGGGGTGCTCTGCAATGTTATCAAGGGAAGGTTCAGTGGAACAAAGTGATTTAACATCTGCAACTTCAAACCTATTTGTGTCTCGACATCAACTCTGTTAACCCTATGTCATCATTTCTTAGAGTCTTTGATATACAAATACAGTTGTTGTTGTATTTAAAAAAAAAAAAAAACTTTTCTCAGCAGGGACTTTTCTGGCTATCCAAACTTTTCCACCACTCTTTTCATCAAACACAGAAGCATTTTATTTTCCTGCCTTAGTTTTTCTTCTCTAACATACTGTTATTTTGCCTTATCTGTCTGTTGTTATTGTGTATTTATCTCATTGTCATGAATGGGGTTTTTATTGTTCACTACCATATACTCACTGCCTAAAAAAAGGCCTGATATATTGGATGTAGCTTAAGTGAGTGAATGAAGTTTATCCTGGGTATATTGTTTGATTGATTCTCACTTTAAAAATGTTTGACATGGTTCTTTCTAACAATTTTGCCTGGTAATTATATGCATTTAAAAATTCTTTTGGCCCTTTATAATAAGCTGCATTATTTATATTAATATTTTTTATTTAGGGATAAAAGGCCAATATTGTGATTAGTCACTGTTTATTCTTTTACTGGTAATTACGATAATTATAATTATGGTAAAATGAATCAGAGGAATTGTAAACTTTACTGGTATTTATTTTATTTTTTGTTTTTTGAGACGGAGTCTCACTCTGTCGCCCAGGCTGTAGTGCAGTGGCACGATCTCCACTCACTGCAACCTCTGCCTCCTGGGTTCAATGGATTCTCTTGCCTCAGCCACCCAAGGACCTGGGATTACAGGTGTGCGCTACCACACCTGGCTAATTGTTGTATTTTTAGTAGAGACAGGGTTTCACCATGTTGGCGAGGTTCGTGTTGAATTCCTGACCTCAAGCAGTCCACCTGCCTCAGCCTCCCGAAGTGCTAGGATTACAGGCATGACCCACCATGTTTGGCAACTAGTATTTTATTTTAAAAAAGTTATTAGGGTGGTAAATGTAATGGACTTACAGATTCTTTGCAAGGGATTATGAACCTTGGGTGTTTGAAATAAAAAGAGTTTGAATTTCTTGCTTTCTATAGTAAGAGGTATACTGTGAATTCTGATGGAGCAGCTGCTGCTGCTTGGCTGTCTTTCAGAAGCAAGCTGTTCACATAGATAATGGTTGGTGAGCAAAGCCAGTGATCATTGATCAATTGACTAGATTTCGAACTGGCTCTGGGTGACTTCTTGTTACCATGGCTACAGGCCAATTCTTTCTTAAGTCTGAGTCAACTTTAACTGGAAATTTTCTGTTATAAAGTTGCCTTCCATTAACTGTGTTCAAAATGAAACTATTTCATATTCCAGAATTGTAGACTTAATTTTAAAGTTTTGGTCAAAATGAATTGGTTAATAGTAGCTCTCAGAAATATATATATGTATATATTTGAGACAGAGTCTCTGTCGCCCAGGCTGGAGTGCAGTGGCATGACCTCAGCTCACTGTAACCTCTGCTTCCTGGGTTCAAGCAATTCTCCTGCCACAACCTCCTGAGTAGCTGGGACTACAGGTGCATGCCGCCATGCCCAGCTAATTTTTTGTATTTTTAGTAGAGATGAGGTTTCACCATGCTAGTCAGGATGGTCTTGATCTCCTGACCTCATGATCCACCTGCCTCAGCCTCCCAAGATACTAGGATTACAGACATGAACCACGGTGCCTGGCCAAACGTTTTTTTTTTTTTTTTTTTTTTTTTGATACATAGTCTTAAACAGAAGAGTTCTCTATATAATTTATTTCTTTTTTTTTGAGACGGAGTTTTGTTCTTGTTACCCAGGCTGGAGTGCAATGGTGTGATCTCGGCTCACCGCAACCTCCGCCTCCTGGGCTCAGGCAATTCTCCTGCCTCAGCCTCCTGAGTAGCTGGGATTACAGGCATGTGCCACCATGCCCAGCTAATTTTTTGCACTTTTAGTAGAGACGGGGTTTCACCATGTTGACCAGGATGGTCTCGATCTCTCAACCTCGTGATCCACCCGCCTCGGCCTCCCAAAGTGCTGGGATTACAGGCTTGAGCCACCGCGCCCGGCTATAATTTATTTCTTATAAACAATTGTTTTGGTTTTGTTTTGGTATTTTTAGAAGCTTTTGCTCAAGTCCTAATATAATCTCCAGTGGGATATTTTAGTCTCTTTGTCAGTCCATGTGTGTATATGGTAGTGATAATCTCTTTTTATAAAATTCCTTTCCTTTTCTTGTGTACTTTTTTCTGTACAACAATAGTGATATTCTTATACATTTTTACCTCATTAAAAAGTAATGATAATTTTCTGCTGGCAAATCCAGTTTTTTATATTTTGACTAAATACTAGACTAAAAGTGAAGAAAATTTATCAAATCATTTCATTTTCAAACAAAATCATAATGAAAATTGCTATTTTTGAATTATAAATAATGATATTTAGATATGTTAAAAGTGAGGGTACTATCTCAATAGTTTGGCTTTGTGTTCCCACCCAAATCTCCTATCAAATTATAATTCCCAGGTGTCGAGAGAAAGACCTGGTGGGAGGTGATTGGGTCACGGTTTCCCCCATGGTGATTTTGTGGTATTAAGTGAGTTCTCACAGGAGCCGAGGGTTTCATAAGAGGTTCATTCCCCTTCACTTCTGTCTCTCCCGCCACCTTATGAAGAATGCGTCTGCTTCCCCTTCGCCTTCTGCCATGACTGTACATTTCCTGAGGCCTTTCCAACCATATGCAACCATGAATCAGTTAAGCCTCATTCCTTTATGAGTTAACCCAGTCCCAGGGGTGTGTGTGTATGTGTGTGTATCACATTTTCTTTATTCCACTCATCAGTTCATGGACACTGGTTGATTCCGTATTTTTGCATATTGTATATTGTGCTGCGGTAAACATATGTATGCAGGTGTCTTTTTGAGAGTGTGATTTCTTTTATTTTGGGTAGGTACCCAGGAATGAGAATGCAGGATAGAATAGTAGGATGTACATTTAGTTTTTTGAGAACTCTCCATAGTGTTTTCCATAGGTTTTGTACTAATTTGCATTCCCACCAGCAGTGTATAACTGTTGTATTTTCACCACATCCACATCAACATCTTTTATTTCTTGATTTTTAATAGTGACCATTCTGGCTGCAGTTAGGTGATACCTCAACTGTTGTTTTATCTTACATTTTCCTGATGATTTACTTAGCATTTTTTAATATGCTTGTTCACCATTTGTACGATCTTCTTTTGAGAAATGCCTATTCATGTCATGTGCCCACTTTTTAATGGAATTATTTGTATGTTTTCTGCCGATTTGTTTGAGTTTCTTGTGGGTTACAGATATTAGTTCTTTGTTAGATTCATAATTTGCCAATTTTTTTCCCATTGTATAGGTTGTTGGTTTACTCTGATGATGATGATGATTATTTTTTGCTGTGCTGAAGCTTTTTAGTTTAATTAGGTCTTATTTAGTTATTTTCATTTTGTTGCATTTGCTTTTAGGGTCTCCATCATAAATTCTTTGCCTAGGTCAGTGTTTTCAAGTCTTAGGTTTAGGCCTTTAATCCATGTTGAATTAATTTTTGTATGTGGTGAGGGATAGAGATCCAATTTCATTCTTCCACAGGTGGCTATCTTTTTTCCCAGTACTGTTTATTGAATAGCATGTACTTTCTCCAGTGTATGATTTTATATCCCTTCTCAGAGATCATTTGGTTGTAAGTGGCTTTATTTCTGAGTTGTTTGTTCTGTTCCATTGATCTATGTATCCGTTTTTTTTTAAAAAAAAGCCAGTACCATGGTGTTTTTGTTACTGTGGCCTTAGAATGTAAATTGAAGTCAGGTAATCCAATGCCTTTTGCTTGGTATGTCTGTCGCTATTCAGGCTCTTTTGCGGTTCTACAAAAATGTCAATATTTTTAAAAATAATTCTGCGAAGAATGACATTGGTACTTTGATAGGAATTGTATCAAATCTGTAGACTGCTTTGGGCACTGTGGTCATTTTCACAGTGTCAGTTATTTCAGTCTATGAACAAAGGATGTATTTTCATTTGTGTCATCTGTTATTTTCGTCAGTGGTGTTTTCCAGTTATCCCTTTATAGATCAGTCACCTCTTTGATTAAGTATATTCCATGCTATTTTACACTTTTTCAGCCATTGTAAAAGGGATTGGGTTCTCCATATGACTGTCAGCTTGGTTGTAGTTGGTGTATAGTGGTGCTATTGATTGGTATTTGTTTATTTTCTAACCACTGAGACTTTACTGAATTCCTGTATCAAATCTAGGAGTGTTTTATAGGAGTCTTTAGGGGTTTCTAGGTATAAAATTATATCATTGATGAAGAAATAGTTTGACTTTCTGTTTTCCTATTTGGATGCCCTTTATTTTTCTTGCTCAATTGCTCTGCCTAGGACTTGCCAGTTTTTCTGTTGTTTTTTTTTTTGAGACAGAGTTTCACTCTTGTTACCCAGGCTGGAGTGCAATGGCGCGATCTCGGCTCACCACAACCTCCACCTCCTGGGTTCAGGCAATTCTCCTGCCTCAGCCTCCTGTGTAGCTGGGGTTATAGGCACGCGCCACCATGCCCAGCTAATTTCTTGTATTTTTAGTAGAGACGGGGTTTCACCGTGTTGACCAGGATGGTCTCGATCTCTTGACCTCGTGATCCACCCACCTCGGCCTCCCAAAGTGCTGGGATTACAGCCTTGAGCCACCGTGCCCGGCCGCCAGTTTTATTCTTAATATGCATAAAATAAAAGTAAAATGGAAAGTGATTAATGATTAGTTTATTTCACGTCTCTCTCTTATACACAGATAAAATTAATTCAAGGTTCTATGTTAAAAACACAGTAGTAGACCCTGTCTTGTTCCAAAAGGAATTTCTAAGTTGTTTATAAAATACATAGAATCAAAAATGTAAATGTAAAGTGTTTCCAAAAAAGAAACATAAAAAGTATGGGTAAACACAGAGGTTCCCAATCCCCAGGTCATGGACCAGTACCAGTCCCTGGCCTGTTGGGAACTGGGCCACACAGCAGGAGGTTAGTGGCAGGTGAGCAAGCACAGCTTAATCTGTTTACGGCCATTCTCTGTCACTTGCAATACTGCCTGAGCTCCTCCTCCTATCAGATCAGCAGTGGCATTAGGTTGTCATAGGAATTTAACCCAAACCCTGCTGTAAGCTACTTACTCAGGGGATCTAGGTTGTTCACTTCTTATGAGAATCTAATGCCTTATGATCTGTCACCAACTCCTGTCACCCCATAGTTGCAGGCAAACAAGCTCAGGGCTCTCACTGATTCTACATTAAGGTGAGTTATATAATTATTTCATTATATATTAATAATAGAAATAAAGTGCACGATAAATGTTATGTGATTGAATCATCCTTGAACCATCTCCTCACCTCAGGTCTGTGGAAAAATAATCTTCCACAAAACCAGTCCCTGGTGCCAGTATGATTGGGGACAGCTGGGTTAACAGATGTGAAACCCCTTTGCCTTATCTTGGATTAATGTGCAGATATACATTGTGTGAATGACATTTGATGGTGCCATCTTGCCCTATAAATCATTTTAGGGATACCTCCATTAGTATTTCATGTAATTAAAATTTCTTCTAGTGATGAACAAAATGATACCCAGAGGCAACTTTCCGAAGAACAGAATGCTAGAATATTACAAGATGAGATTCCAATAAACAAAAGCAGATAGAAGTGGCTGAAAAGATAAATTCTGAGGTATTTTCTTTTGTTATTTTCAGATGTTTTGAAATGCATATGTATTTTATTTATTTTTATTTTATTTTATTTTATTTTTATTGCATTTTAGGTTTGGGGGTACATGTGAAGAATATTCAAGATTGTTGCATAGGTACACACATGGCAGTGTGATTTGCTGCCTTCCTCCCCCTCACCTATATCTGGCATTTCTCCCCATGTTATCCCTTCGCAACTCCCCACTGCTCACTGTCCCTCCCCTATTTTCCCCCAACAGACCCCAGTGTGTGATGCTCCCCTCCCTGTGACAATGTGTTGTCATTGTTCAACACCCGCCTGTGAGTGAGAACATGTGGTGTTTGATTTTCTGCTCTTGTGTCAGTTTGCTGAGAATAATGGTTTCCAGGTTCATCCATGTCCCTGCAAAGGACACAAACTCATCATTTTTGATGGCTGTGTAGTATTCCATGGTGTATATGTGCCACATTTTCCCTGTCCAGTCTATCATCGATGGGCATTTGGGTTGGTTCCAGCTCTTTGCTATTGTAAACAGTGCTGCCAGTGCTGCAATTAACATTTGTGTGCATGTGTCCTTATAGTAGAACAATTTATAATACTTTGGATATACCCAGTACTGGGATTGCTGGGTCAAATGGGATTTCTATTTCTAGGTCCTTGAGGAATCGCCACACTGTCTTCCACAATGGTTGAACTAATTTAGATTCTCACCAACAGTGTAAAAGTGTTCCTATTTCTCCACATCCTCTCTAGCGTCTGTTGTCTCAGATTTTTTAATGATTGCCATTCTAACTGGTGTGAGCTGGTATCTCAATGTAGTTTTTTGCATTTCTCTGATGACCAGTGATGATGAGCATTTTTTCATGTTTGTTGGCCTCATGTATGTCTTCTTTTGTAAAGCATCTGTTCATATCCTTCACCCACTTTTGAATGGGCTTCTTTGTTTTTTTCTTGTAAATCTGTTTTAGTTCTTTGTAGATTCTTGATATCAGCCGTTTGTCAGACGGGTAGACTGCAAAATGTTTTTCCCATTCTCTTGGCTGCTGATTCACTCTAATGACTGTTTCTTTTGATGTGCAGAAGCTGTGGAGTTTGATTGGGTCCCATTTGTCTATTTTGGCTTTTGTTGCCAGTGCTTTTGGTGTTTTGGTCATGAAGTCCTTGACTACGCCTATGTCCTGAATGGTTTTGCGTAGATTTTCTTCTAGGGGTTTTTATGGTGTTAGGTCTTATGTTTAAGTCTTTAATCCATCTGGAGTTAATTTGAGTGTAAGGTGTCAGGAAGGGGTCGAGTTTCTGTTTTCTGCACATGGCTAGCCAGTTTTCCCAACACCATTTATTAAACAGGGAATCCTTTCCCCATTGCTTGCTTTTGTCAGGTTTGTCAATGTTCGGATGGTTGTAGATGTGTTGTGTTGCCTCCGAGGCCTCTGTTCCATTTGTCTATATATCTGTTTTGGTACCGGTACTGTGCTGCTCTGATTACTGTAGCCTTGTAGTATAGTTTGAAGTCCAGTAGTGTGATTCCTCCAGCTTTGTTCTTTTTGCTTAGAATTGACTTGGCTATTCGGGCTCTCTTTTGGTTCCATATGAAGTTTAAGGTGGTTTTTTCCAGTTCTGTGAAGAAGGTCATTGGTAGCTTGATGGGGATAGCATTGAATCTGTAAATTACTTTGGGCAGTATGTCTATTTTCATGATACTGATTCTTCCTAACCATAAACATGGAATGTTTCTCCATCTGTTTGTGTCCTCTCTTATTTCGTTAAGCAGTGGCTTGTAGTTCTCCTTGAAGAGGTCCTTTACATGTCTTGTTAGTTGTATTCCTAGGTATTTTATTCTCTTTATAGCAATTGTGAATGGCAGTTCGTTCTTGATTTGGCTCTCTTTAAGTCTGTTACTGGTTTATAGGAATGGTTGTGATTTTTGCACATTGATTTTGTGTCCTGAGACTTTTCTGAAGTTGCTTATCAGTTGCAGGAGATTTTGGGCTGAGATGATGGGGTGTTCTAGATATACAATCATGTCGTCTGCAAATAGAGACAATTTGACTGCCTCCTTTCCTATTTGAATACCCTTTATTTCTTTTTTCTTGCCTGATTGTTCTGGCTAGAACTTCCAGTATTATATTGAGTAGGAGTGGTGAGAGAGGGCATCCTTGTCTAGTGCCAGATTTCAAAGGGAATGCTTCCAGTTTTTGCCCATTCAGTATGATATTGGCTGTTGGTTTGTCATCAATAGCTTTTATTATTTTGAGATACGTTCCGTCAGTACCTAGTTTATTGAGGGTTTTTAGCATAAAGTACTGTTGAATTTTGTCAAAGGCCTTCTCTGCATCAATTGAGATAATCATGTGGTTTTTGTCTTTGATTCTTTTTATGTGGTGAATTATTTTTATAGACTTGTGTATGTTGAACCAGCCTTGCATCCCTGGGATGAATCCTACTTGATCATGTTGAATACACTTTTTGATGTGCTGTTGCAATCAGTTTGCCAGTATTTTATTGAAGATTTTTGCATCTATGTTCATCATGGATATTGGCCTGAAGTTTTGTTTTCTTGCTGAGTCTCTGCCACGTTTTGGTATCAGGATGATGTTTGTCTCATAAAATGATTTGGGAAGGATTCCCTCTTTTTGGATTGTTTGGAATAGTTTCAGAAGGAATGGTACCAGCTCCTCTTTGTATGGTTGGCAGAATTTGGCTGTGAGCCTGTCTGGATCTGGGCTTTTTTTTGGGTGGTAGGCTCTTAATTGCTGCCTCAACTTACCTATTCAGGGTTTCCACTTCTTCCTGGTTTAGGCTTGGGAGGATGCAAGTGTCCAGGAATTTATCCGTTTCTTCCAGATTTGCTAGTTTATGTGCATAGAGTTGTTTGTAATAATCTCTGATAATGGTTTGAATTTTTTTGGGGAACCTGTGGTGATAGCCCCTTTATCGTTTTCTATTGCATCTATTTGATATACTCTCTTTTCTTTTTTATTAATCTGGCTAGTGGTCTGTCTATTTTGTTCATCTTTTTGAAAAACTGGCTCCTGGATTTATTGATTTTTTTGAAGGGTTTTTTGTGTCTCTGTCTTTTTCAGTTCTGCTGTGATCTTAGTTATTTCTTGTCTTCTGCTAGGTTTTGAGGTTTTTTGGTCTTGCTCCTCTAGCTCTTTCAATTTTGACTATAGGATGTCGATTTTAAATCTCTCTTTGCTTCTCATCTGGGCATTTATTGCTATATGTTTTTCTCTAGAGACTGCTTTAAATGTGTCCCAGAGATTCTGTTATGTTGTGTCTTCGTTCTAGTTGGTTTCAAAGAACATCTTTATTTCTGCCTTCATTTCATTGTTTATCCAGTCAACATTCAGGAGCCAGTTGTTCAGTTTCCATGAAGCTGTGCGGTTCTGAGTTATTTTCTGAATTCTGAGTTCTAACATGACTGCATTGTGGTCTGAGAGACTGTTTCTTATTACCCACCTTCTGAAGCCTGATTCTGTCAATTCATCACACTCATTCTCCATCAAGCCTTGTTCCCTTGCTGGTGAGGACTTGTGATTCCTTGTAGGAGGAGAGGTGTTCTGGTTTCTGGTGTTTTCATCCTTTTTGCGCTGGTTTCCTCCCGTCTTTATGGATTTATCCACCTGTCATCTTTGTAGTTGTTGACTTTCAGATTGGGTCTCTGAGTGGATGTTCAGTTTGTTGATGATGAAGTTATTTCTTTGTTTCTTAGTTTTTCCTTCCAACAGTCTGGCCCCTCTGCTGTAGGACTGCTGAGGTCCACTCCAGGCCCTGCTTGCCTGGGGATCACCTGCAGCAGCTGCAGAACAGTAAGGTTTGCTGCCAGTTTCTTCTTCTGCTATCTTTGTCCCAGAAGGATACCCTCCAGATGTTAGTCTGAGCTCTTCTTTATGAGAGAGTTTGAGGTGAGTATGAAGTGACTCTTTGGATATACAGGGGTCAGGGAGCTGCTTGAGGAGACAGTCTGTCCTTTATAGGAGCTTAAGTGCTGAGCTGTGAGCTCCATTGTTCATTCAGAGCTGCTGGGCAGGTATGTTTAGGTCTGCTGCAGCAGAATTCATAAACCCCCCGTTTGTTTACCCCCCTGAGGTGCTCTGTCCTGGGGAGTTAGGGCTTTATGAGTTTGTTTTGCTGCTCCCTTTTTTCAGGGCTGCCCTGCCCAGTGAGGAGGGAACCTAGTCTCTGTCTGTCTGCAGAGGCTTTGCTGAGCTGCTGTGGGCTCTGCTCAGCTGCCGTGTTATCTTCCCTGCAGTCCTGTTTATATGTGTGTAGTTAGAACTAACTTGGCAATGGCGGCCCACCTCCATAACGGCGGACTCTCTCTTTTAATGGCAGTCTGCCTCAGCCTTGACAAACTACCTCCATAGTGGTGGACTGCCTTGGTAATGGTGGACGCCCCTCCCCGCCAGAGCTGGACCATCCGGGGTTCAGCTGTGCTTGCTGTGAAACTCTCAATCCAGAGGATTTCTGATTGCTGTTTTTTTGTGGGGGTGGGACCATCTAAGCCTGATCACCTGGCTCCCTGCCTTAGAGACTTTTTTTTTTAGTTGAACAGTCGATTCTCTCCCAGGTGTTCCAATCGCCTGTTGAAAAGGCACTGAGATCTGTGTGATTTCCTGTCGGGCAACCCACAGCACCAGCTGAAACAGCCGTGCTGAGATTCGTGGAGCTTTTTTGCCCAGGAATCTCCTGGCTTGGCTCCCTGTTTCAGTACCCTCTTTAATCAGATGAATGGGTGACTCTGCCTTCCCAGAGCTCCAATCACCAGCTAAAATGGCACCCAGACTCGTGTATTTTGTGCAGAGAACCACCGCGCCGGGGCGCCAGCAAAACAACTGCGCTGGCCAAACTAGCCGTGCTGGCGACCCGTGGGGCTCCTCTGCCTGGGAATCTCCTGGTCTGTGGGCAATAAAAATCCATCTGGAAATGTGACGTCCACTCATCCTCTGCACTTTCACTGGGAGCTGCAATCCTGAGCTGCTCGTAATTGGCCATTTGGGATCCCTCCGTGTACGTATTTTAAAAACCATCTCTGTTTTGGAAAGTAGAAAGTATTTTTAAAACATATATGTGTATATATCTTATATATCCTTTATAATATATCTATATATGTACATTTGGGATAAAGCTGTGTTCTGAATTCAACTCCATTTGCTTGCAACAATCAAATAATGACATTCACAATGGCCTCAATCCAAAGGAGAAGCATTTAATATTTTTCATAAGAATTGATGATCTTTCCAGTATCAAAACTAAGGTTTGCTACTAACAACAGATTTTCTAGTTTTGGGGTATTAGTTTATTTTCTAAAAATATTATTAGAGAAGTCCGTTTATTATTTTCACTTCTAGGAAAGTAGGAAACAAATAGCTGGGGCAGAGGTCACATTGTTGTCATTATTCTTACTTTTGTGGAGAGTAAGAGATTGTTCCACGTAGTTTCTCATTTCAATGCAAAGAGCTTTGAAAACAATGACATGCTATGGTATACATTTAGTGATAATTTATTAGTAAGTATTTTGTTCTCAGAGAAATCGTTCAGTATATTTTCCCATATTTCACACTTACCACTGTTTTAAGCATTATAAAGAGGAAATAAAAGTTATTGCAATAACAAATAATCTCATTATTTCTAAGAGAAACTCTGTAAGTTATATCTTATTCATATTTTGAATTAAAGGCTTCTTTTATATTTATATAGTTATACCACAGAAGTAACTGATTTTGTGGAGGATCACTAGAAGTAGCATCAGAAGACCTGGGGAAAATTCTGCATTTTACACACACACACACACACACACACACACACACACACACACACTTTTATTTTGAAACAGAGTCTTACACTGGCACCCAGGCTGGAGTGCAATGGCATGATCTCAGCTCACTGTAACCTCCACCTCCTGGGTTCACCTGATTCTCCTACCTCAACCTTTTGAGTAGCTGGGACTACAGGTGCACACCACCAGACCTGGCTAATAATTTTTAGTAGAGATGGGGTTTTTCTGTGTTGACCACACTGGTCTCAAACTCCTGACCTCATGATCCACCCACCTCAGTGGCTGGGATTATAGGTGTGAGCCACTGCACCCAATCGCATGTAGAAGTGCAGTGCTGCATACAACACTGAACATTACACTGTGCTGGGATTACAGGCATGAGCCACAGCACCCAGCCACATAGATTTTTTGATTTCTCTATTAAAGAATTGTCATCTTAAGTAAGTTCAGTGTTGTATGTAGAAGTGCAATGCTTAGATGCAGTTGTGTACATGTAGAAGGATACAGTACTTAGATTTAACAGTTATGAATAAATGTAATTGTAATAACTATAAAAATATTAGAAAAGCAGTATATTGATAAAACATTTTCAGAAAAAGGAACTTAGAAACTTCGAGGAATTACTTCTGTCCAAATATATGCATTGCTAAGGCTCTTACAATGGTGTGGTTTATAGGATAGATATCAGAGTGTAAACCAAATGTAAAAAATATAGTCAAATGTATTAATCTTACATTTTATGCCTATGGAATTTTTGTAATTCAGAGAAAGGCTTTTCCAGTTCTGAAATTCTTTAAAATCCTTTAGTGATTTATTTTTCATAGTCTTTAAATAAATATTTAAACTTTCTGGAATTTACGTTCTATTAGGTTTAAAGTTTTGTCCAACTTTTTTTCAGTTAAATATTCATTGTGGGAATTCATTATTCCCAACAAATACACATGTTATTCTTTAATTTCAGAAGAAATTATGATATGTCAATTCTGTTTTGTGCTAACTAAAAGTTTCCTTTGTTGACTTAGATTTCTCTTAGCCATAAGAAAGAAAAAGATCTCTTGCATGAAAATCACATGTTGCAGGAAGAAATTGCCATGCCAAAACTGGAACTAGACACAATAAAACATCAGAACCAGCTAAGGGAAAATAAAGTTTTGGAGGACATTGAAAGTGTGAAAGGAAAGAATGATATTCTAAAGGCTATAAAATTGGATAAGGAAGAATGAACAAAAACAGTATTTAAGTACAGTTGACAGCTTAACACTTTGGCAACGAAGAATAAAATGGTCAGTTCTGAACTGGAGAATGTAAGACACAACTAGGAAACAGTGTAATTGGAAATTCAGTCATGTCATTGTAGACTGGCTACTGCTCTACATGACTGTGACCAAAGCCAGATAGCAGAAAGAGACTTCTTTCCAGAGAACAAAACCTCAACAGGTTTATTTACAGGAGACAATGAATTCTCATACATCTAACCTGAAAAAGAACAGCAAGATTCTTTCTGAAAAACTGTCATGCTTATTGTAGAATTAACAGCCTAAAAATTCAGCTCCATCACACAAGATAAACTGTGAGAGAAAAGACAGGGCAGGCTGTCATCTTTCCTGTTGGAGGAACTTAATTATTCCAGCCTGCGGGCATTGGAGAGTACAAACCCACCAGGAGCAGAGGAGTTCCCACAGCACAGCACAGCTGCTTTACCAAATCATGGCCAGACTGCTTCTGTAAACAGGCTCCTGATCCTGTTCCTTCTTACTGAACAGGACCTCCCACCTGGGGCTTACAGCTACCCTCACAGGTGTTCCGTGGCCAATGGAGATTTGAGACATTCCTTAGACAGAGCTCCCACAGAGAGGGGCGGGCCACCAACTTTGCTGTTTGGGTGACTAGCTGTTCTGACCTGTGGGCTTTGGATAGCTTAAGCTGAACAGGCCTCGAAGTGGTAGCGCAGCACAGCAGGGCCACCTTGCAAAAACATGGCCAGACTCTTGTTTAAGTCAGTCCCCAACCACATTTCTAATTCCTGGGTGGAGCCTTTCAACAAGTTTATCTGGCTGCCTTCACTGCTGTTCTCTGGCTGACAGATGTTTCAAGGCCTCCCTGAGTCAGAGCTTCCAGGGGGAGGACCAGACTGTCATCTTTGCTGTTTAGGCGACTCAGCCATTTCAATCTTGGGGCTTCAGAGTGTCTGAGGCAACCAGGTGCTGAAGTGAACCCTCAGCACTGCACAGCTGCTCTACAGAAACATGGCCAGACTTTTCTAAAAGCAAGTCTCTGTTCTTATTCCTCCCGACTAAACAAGACTTCTCAACTTGCCTCCAGACACCTCCTATTGGTGTGTTCAGATTGGCAACAGGTTTGTACCTCAGTGGTAGAGCTCCCAGAGGAAGAGACAGGCAATCGTCTTTGCCTTTTCACAGCCTTTGGTGATACCGTCAGGAACTGGAAGATAAGAGACAATTAGGGACTGGAGTGGACCCCCAGCATACCACAGCAGCCTTATGGAAAAGTGGCCGAACATGGGTGCCCGTTTCCATATCTCCTTGAGGGACAGGTCCTGCTGGCCTGGGTCTGTAGACAGCCCCTCACTAGAGCTATTAAGCCAGTAGCAACTTGGCAATTTTCTGGACAGAGCTTCCAGGATCAACTGAAATCCTCTCTGCCACTGCCTCTGCAGTGGAACCGCCCTTGCTACCCTCAGAATATCAAGGGAGCAAGGAGTCTAAGTATCATATTGACATCCTCAAAAAGCTGCAGTTGACCCAAGGAACAAGGCAGTCCATATGGGTACCCCCCCCCCCAATGCTCATCACCAGACAGGGAACCCTGGCTTGGCACAGACCCTCCCTCCTGGGCTGATGGATGGGTAAGGATGGCTAGCTCACGTCTCTGGAATTGATCCCCCAGGAGACAAGCAAAGTTGGGGAGCAGCAGGCCAGCCAATGTGAAGCCCAGAGGGCAGGGACAGGTGTCTCTCTGGGCTCCACTTGCTCTTATGAGACACTTTATCCCAGCACTTTAGGAGTGTGGAGGTCAGACCAGCCACATCTCATATGCAAGATTGCCCAGCAGAGATCAGGTCTAAGAGTTTCTTTCTTAAAAAAGGAAACTTGCTGAATAAAGAAATCTGGCCACGTTTTTGTAGAGCAGCTGTGCTGTGCTGGGGCTTTACTTTTGAGAGAATTCTCCTCTGAGACCTGATCTTTGCTCGACATTCCTGCACATGAGATGAAGCTGGTCTGACCTCAGCATTCCTTAGTCTACTTGCCTCTCCCAGGACCCCAGCCTGGCCACAGCTGCTTACAGGGCACTCTCAGGTGCCTACACCATAGCTTCTATGCCAGTGGACTGTGCATGACCAGTGGAGAGCTGCAGCAAGGTGACCCCTCCAGGCATGCACTAGCCTCTACATTGCCTCTGCATACTTCAGCTCTTTATACAGAAACTTCCTATGTCGATTTGCTGGTGTGTGGGGGTGGGTTTTGCTACAGGGGAGTGTAGCACACACTTAATCCCACACAAACTGCCATTGAAGTCGGAGCCATGGCAGGCACAGAACCAAAAACCCCACCCCACCAGCACCTTGCCCTTCAGCTAATGCTGTACAGAGAAAAAGGGACCCTCTTATACCCTGAGCAGCCACTGTTACTTAGGGTGGCATGGAGAAGGCACCCAGATCTGCACTGGCCAGCACCCTGCCCTGAACCAACACTACCTCCAGTGCAGTAGCACACAGCAGGGGCCCTCTGGCCCCTACCCAGGCTATCTTGTCTCTACCACTGGGTGAATGCCTGCAGGGAGGCAGGCACTTTTGTATCCGCTAGCACTCTGCCACAGCTGCCACACTTTGGTTCCCTCAGTGTAGTGGACTCTAAACCTCAATGAGCCAGAGAACAAAGTTGGGACCCAACACAAGTTCCATGGAGTTAAAGCACACCGTACAGGAATTGGAAGCTGAATGTTGACCCCCTAAAATCCTCCAAAAACAAAGCCAGTTAGCTGAATCTGCTTTACACCACAATCAAATTCTCAAGGTCATCAAATACAATAAGAGAAAAATACCCTGTCCTACGGTCAGCAACCTTGAAGGTTGAAAGTGGACAAGCCCATAAAGATAAGGAAGGATCTGTGCAAGAACACTGAAAACTCAAAAAGTCAGCATGCCTTTTATTTCCTCCAAATGGCTGCATCAACTCTCCAGCCTGTTCAAGTGTTCAGAACTAGGCTGAGGCTGAGACGTCCGAAATGATACAAGTGAATTCAGAATATGGGTAGAAACAAAGTTCACTGAGTGAAAGACGTATGTTGTAATCTAATCCAAGGAAGCTAAAAGTCATTGTGAAACATTGCAGGAGCTAACAGACAAACTAATCAGTAGAAAGAAGAACATAACTGATGCGATACAGCTGAAAAGCACACTGCAAGAATTTTCATAATGCAATCACATTGTGATTGTGTGTGATTGCATTATGAAAATTCTTGTAGTGTGTGTGGGCACCTGAGAGTGCCCTGTAAGCAGGTGTGGCCAGGCTGGGGTCCTGGGAGAGGCAAGTAGACTAAGGAGTACTGAGGTCAGACCAACCCCATCTCATGTGCAAGACCACCTTGCAGAATAGACCAAGCAGAGGAAAGAGTCTCAGAGATCGAAAACTGGCTTACTGAAAGAAAACAGTCAAGAATGGGGGGGAGAGAATGAAAAGGAGTGAACAAAACCTGAGAGAAAAATGGGATTATGTAAAAAGACCAAATTTATGAGTGATTAGTATACCTGAAAGAGATAAGAAAAATGGAACCAACTTAGAAACACATTTCAGAATATCTTTCATGAGAATTTCCCCAACCTAGCCAGACAGGCTAACATTCAAATTCAGGAAATCCAGAGAACCTCAGTAAGATATGCCACCAGAAGAACATCCCCAAGACACGTAATCATCAGATTCTCCAAGGTCAAAATGAAAGAGAAAATGCTAGAGGCAGCTAGGAAAAAAGGCAAGGTCACCTACAAAGGGCATTCCATCAGACTTAACAGCAGACCACTCAGCTGAAACCCAGAAGCCAGAAGAAATACTCAACTTCTCAAAAGAAATTTCAACCCAGAAATTCACATTCAGCAAAACTAAGCATTATAAACGAAGGAGAAATAAGATCCTTTTCCGGCAAACAAATGCTGAGGGAATTCATTACCACCAGATTAGCCTTATAAGAGCTCTTGAAGGAAGCACTTAACATGAAAGGAAAATATCACGAGCCACTACGAAAAATGCACTGAAGTACACAGACCAGTGATGCTAAAACACCAACCACATACACAAGTCTGCAGAATTACTAGTTAACATTGTGATGACAAGAACAAATCCACACATATTATTACTAACAAATGTAAATGGGCTAAATGCTCCAATTGAAAGACATAAGAGGGCAGGCTGGATAAAGAACCAAGACCCATTTGAGTATGCGGTCTTCAAGAGACTCATCTCACATGAAATCCCACACATAGGCTCAAAGTAAAGGAATGGAGAAAAACCTTTCAAGCAAATGGAAAACAGAAAAATCAATTGTTGCAATCCTGTTTATTATTATTTTTTTTATTTTTATTTTTTTTTGAGATGGAGTTTTACTCTTGTTGCCCAGGCTGGAATGCAATGGCATGATCTCAGCTCGCCACAACCTCCGCTTCCCGGGTTCAGGTGATTCTCCTGCCTCAGCCTCCTGAGTAACTGGAATTACAGACACGCACCAGCTAATTTTTTACCATGTTGGTCAAGCTGGTCTCAAACTCCTGACCTCAGGTGATCCACCCCGTCTTGACCTCCCAAAGTGCTGGGATTACAGGCATGAGCCATCACATCCAACCACAATCCTAGCCTCTGACTATACCAATAAAGATTAAGGACAGAGAAGGACATGTCAAAGGTGGCCCTGCCCTTTGGTAAATCTCATTATTGCTTGATCCCAACCTGGGCCATTCTTATTGTTCAAACCAATAGGTTAATTTGCTGAGGTTGGGGAGCTTCTCCCCTCCAGAGAGTCCCTGATCTCCCAAAATTTGGTTGAGATCTAAGGTTCGTTTTGCTTTACAGCTCCTCAAGTTTTACTCATTTCCAACAAGAAAGGCAAGTTTTTCCTGCTTCCATGATGATGGAGAGCAGGCACCTCCGTTCTTCAGTTTCAGCTTGCTTCTAACAGGGAAGGTGAGTATGAGTTTTTTCCTGCTTTTAAGATGGTAGAGAACAATCATCAGCCTGAGCCTTATTTTC